TTACTTCATAAAGTGTGTTTCAAATGTCCTACACGTGTAAGGACGATTTGTTTATGACTGCTGTTATAAAGGGTGCAAAAATGTAGAGCAGAAATGCACAGAAATCCCCTTTTCAGCTCATTGGCCCAACACTTCACCCCTCCTTCTCATCAGTTTTTCTCTTTGCTTGCAGCTTTAAGGAAGCGGTTAACCTTGATGGTGGATGGTAGACAGATCTATAGCAGCTCACGAAGCAAATGGAAAACTGTGTCCGCTTTGATCAATCCTCTGGTTTCAAACGGAAAGATTTAGCGCCATTTTCAGGAAGTTGATTTTGTCCTGCAAACTTGAATTTATGTATGGTGTAAAAATGGTTCAAAGTAATGCAAGAATGGTGAGAATTTGTGAGAAAAGGGACTGCAGTTTTGTCTGAGTCTGGTGCTATTTGGCAGGGAGCAGACCGATTGAGAGTAGCTCTTGCCAGTTTAGTAGCTTAGCTCTAAATTGTTGCTTTTTACTGTTGAACTGAAGCAACACTTCCTGAGAGAATTTGGTTTAATATTTTAAAACATTCGTGTAAAATCCAGTTAACATTGTGAGTAAAATAAAAAGGATGATAAGACAAATGTTTATATCTCTGCATGTCTTCTTCCAGGTGTTTCACAGGTGCTGAAAGAAAGATGGTGAGGATAAAAGGTGGAGGCCACAGCCGACGGTCCAGACCTCGCTAGAGTTGCACGATCTCCATCGTCTCACCTCTTCACCATCATCATCGTCTTCATCCACCACTGCTGTCCATCCCACCTAGTACCATGGCCAGCCACCTAGAGCTGATCCAGGAGCTGCAGCAGCTGGACAAGGTGCCAAGTCTAGAGAGGCTGCGGGCGGCCCAGAAGCGCCGGACCCAGCAGCTGAAGAGGTGGGCCGTCTACGAGAAGGAGATGCAGAACAAGAAGCGAAAGGCGGATAGGAAGGGACGAAACGGCAACAACCTGCAGCAGTCAGAGTTCAGGAGGCGAGTGTCATTCGCTGCCAGCGTGGCGCTTCTGGAAGCGTCGGCCAGGAATGACCCAGATGAAGGTTTGTAATATATTATAAACATAGTTTATTTATTCCTAAAGCACAAATGCATTTTGGGTATTTTGTTGTTTTGTTGCAGCACATGAATAACTACGTTAATACCAGCCTCCCGTCATTCCCCCTCCCAGATATCCAAATGCCAAGGTTATGAAAACGATTAGCTCTGCCTTCCCACTCAAGCAGCCCAAGTCACTCCATTCAAACCAAATTTGTTCTGCTACATGACCGTTTTATCGCTGGGGAAATAATGGACTTGTCACACCGAGATGAAACTCTGCCAGTCTTTTAATTGAAAATGCTGTGCATACTGCCCCCCTGTTAGAAGATAATAATTGTTTTCCTCCTGTAGAGGCAGTTCCATGGGGCCTTGGCTATGTTTTTGTGATGCTGCGATGTCAAAACGCTGCTTTCTCTCTTATATGGTGTCTTATTTAACATCACTTTAACATGAAATTGGTTTGAAGTCTTTTACCAGAATAAAAATGGCCCACAGCGGTGTCGCTGCAGATACAGATACCTCCACAAGGCTGCGGTGATTCTAGGGTAAACAGGCGTGAGCTGGGCGTGTGCAGGATGCACCCAACATGCTGCAGTGTCACATTGTTTTGGAAGTGATTTCAGCAACATTTTAAAGGTTGTTATTTGGCTGCTGTGCCACGGGGGAATTCTCCTCTTTAATGTTTTCACGTTCAAAGATGGTTGGACAGGAAGTCATTTTTGCTTTACCACCACATTATCTAGAACAGTGGTTCCCAAACTTATTTAGCCGCGCACCCCCTTCTATGTCCCGACCATGTCGACGCACCCCCCCCCAGCCCCCACATTGGAGCATGGCTCTATATATATATATATATATATATATATATATATATATATATATATATATATATATATATATATATATATATCAGATGTCAAGCTAAACAGACAGGGTTAAAAAAATTCCCCATCACTTTCATTTTTTAAATAGTAATTAATAAACATTCGATACCATTACAATTTCCTTTGATTTAATTTTAAATAAATATTAAGAGTGCACAGGTAGCACATAAAAAATGCAATTTAACAGTTTTCTTAAAGTAGGAACGTTTAACCTGTGCGGCCAGAGCGCTCTCCTTCCTTCTGCTCTGCGTAAACCTGAACTGATCACCTACTTGTGCGTAATCAAATGTCAATAGGGGACAAGATATAGCCATGATGTTCACTTTTACCTCAGACCGACTTATTGCTGTTTTATGGTGTGGCTGAATCTGCGATCCGCTGCCACGCTGACTGGAGTAACAAATGGTGCAGTAACAGGACTTGTGGTCAGGTTCATGAGGAGTCACTGGCTGGAGCGGACCCGACTCATCCCAGAAGCTAATATCTTAATTTGACCTTGAATGAAAAATAACCTCTTAAAAGTTTTTATCACGGTGGAGGCAGCGTTCATTTCTGCCTTCAGTCTGACGGCGCGCCGGAGTTAAAGCAGCGTGTGCGCTTATTGAATCTGTGTGTATGTGTCTGTGCGCACGCACGCGCGGCACAGCCGCTCAAGTCACCGCTTCTCGCGCTATTTAAACCAATGTTGTAAAATGACTTCTGCCCAGCCCAGATGTGCTCACTTGTGCATCCGTGAGCCGTGATTCCGCTGGAACGCGTCTGACCTCTGACCGACGCACTCTGAACTTCAGATCTTCAGCGCGCTGTTAATAGCCTGAATGGGAATCATTTCTTGTTATATTGTTTCATCCACAATGTTCTGTGTGTGAGGTTTACAATGTCAGAACACCTGTGTGAGACAGGTGTTAATTACAATCTGCCAGAATGACTCACCACCTTCAGATTCCTCCAACACCGTTAAAAATGATCAAATACTGAACATATCGGCGTGCGCAGGCCAGAGTGCTGAAGCTCAGCGCATTGTTATTATGAAGCTAGGGCACATGTGGAGGACGCGCACGCGCGCAAAAATATACTTGTTTTCAATTACATTTATTGTGCCCACTTACTTTTTCTTTGGCCCACCCACAAATGAGTTTCTGGCTACGCTAATGGTGACATATGACAATCTTCTCTGAGCTCCGCAGCCATTACACTTTTCACCTCGCGCACCCCCTAGCGGCAGCTCGTGCACCCCCAGGGGTGCGCGCACCACACTTTGAGAATCCCTGATCTAGAAATATGCAAAGTCGTTGAAAAATTTGTCAAGTCAATTTTTAATTATAAAGCACTTTTCATACCAAAGGCAACTCGAAGTGCTGTACAGAAAATAAAACAATAACCACAATAACCCTCCCCCTCAACCACACACACACACACACACACACACACACACACACACACACACACACACACACACACACACACACACACACACACACACACACACACACACACACACACACACACACACACACACACACACTTTAAAATAAAAGGATAGTATCACTAAGTGAACACTATATCTCTATGGGCTGAGCAAACCGACCTTTTACCCCAAATAGACTGACGTCGTTTTTTTTAAGTGCATGTAAACAAGATATTCTGGCTGAAGGTGAATCATGCTGAATCACCCAGATGCATTAGGAACTCGACTTCATCTTCATGTAAACATTTCTGTGTAGATGAAGATTTTGGAGCAGCTGGATGAACAGAGATTAACCTAAATCAGGTGGTCTAGGAAAAGAAAGTCCTATGAAATCAGGCAAATAATCTCGGAAGATTAGTTTGAATAAGTTTAAAAGAGACATATAATGGAGATCTCATCTTTTGCATCGTTTTGTGCTGCCATGTGGGTCTCTACTGCCTCTATAAACACCCTAAATGTGAAAAAACTATGCTTTCTGTCGGTGTTTATTTTTTAAGAGTTATGTGCCTAAGATGAGCTGTTTCAAAAATCCCAGTTCATGATGTCACAACTGGGGAAAGTAGAATAGAACAACTTCCCATGTTAAATAGTGAACTGCTACTGGAAGAGCAGCAGCTTTACTCCAAGCCCCTCTCAGATATCAGAGCTTCTTAGCTTATAGCAGCCTGAGTGGGGGCAGTGGTGGGTGTGGCCAGCCACAGCTTACATCCCACATCCCCATCAGTAATGTGTTCCTTTATGGTTTTTGACATTTATTGTCATTTATTGTCTTGTGCACTGTTGATGGCAGACCATCTGTAATTTAATTGCCATGAGCAATTACAATAAAGTTTATTCTATTCTATTCTATTTTAAAGTGACAGAGTCCTGTATTGGCTCATTCTGGATTGTACTGAAAATGCAGTGTATAAATCTGGTGAAATTGCTTTAAATTAGAGGAAAATAAAACTTAAAGATGTTTTTTATCATCATAGAATTATCATAACTCAAGAAAAATAGTCATTTGTCCCAGTTAATATTTCCAGTCTTCAAGCATTCCCACTTCCCACTTGATGCCATTTTCTCCCTTCTAAATGTATATTTCTGTGACTCACAGCTGAACATACCGGAGAAAAATTCTTTTTTTTTCCCCCTCTTTGTTTTGAAGATGTCTGATGTGCAGAAGGTTTGGCTCCTTGCTGCTGGCACTGCCTGGGCACAAAAACGTCTGCTATCACTGCTGTTTAATGAGGGTGGCCATGAAGGAGGAAGGGAGATAAAAAGGAGAGGGAGCCAGGATGTAGTGTTGCCCACACAGCTCCAGTGGCAGCTGGCTGGCTCAGAAGCCTGATAATCTTTCCTCTCGGTCCCTCTGGTTCCCAAATGCTCGATCAGGTGTCCGTGGCTCGACGCGCTGTGCTGTTCCAGCTGACTGTGCACAAGCTCTGAGCTTATTTTACAAAAAAAATATCAGCGTCAAGGATTCTCCTGTGTAGGCTTTCAGAAAGGATGATAAGAGTTTGAGCTAAATGAAGATGTTTTGATTATATTAAAGTTAAACGTCTGACTATTATGCGACCCGTGGAACCAAACTAAACAATGAGGAGAGAAATTCTCAGATGCTATTTGTGGCACAGATGTGAACAAACTGAGATTTTGAGTTGAACTTTGACCTGAAGCTGACAATAATCAGATGACAAGCTGGAGGATTGCTATTTAATCCACAGTTTGTGTTAGTTCTGCTTCATGTGAGAGCATGTGTGTGTCAGAGATATGTGGTCCTTGTCCTTGGCTGTTAAAAAGAATAATTTATTGTGTTTTGTGAGCTGCAACACAAAATGATCTGTTGGTGTGCACGTTTGAGACCCCTCTAATTTCTCTGTCTGCCTGGATGTTTTTCTTTCTCTCAACTGCAAACTTCCTGTCATTATGATTTCCCTTCTGGGAGCTCTGGGAGCAAACTCATCAGGCAGTAGATGAGGTGGAATTGCAGAAAATTGCAGAAAAGCATTGTCTGTGTTTCTTTCAAAGCTCATCAGGCAGAAAAGCATTGTGCATTTCAGCTGCAGTTTCAGGTTTTTCCAATGTTTCTGTGGGGAAAAAAACTGTAAACAGAAAAAGAAACCAGTTTAGATTATATAAATGACTTTAGTCTGGTAAAGGAGAAACATTCCCATGCTTACTTGTGTAAAATGGAAAAAAGATGCATGCATGTGAAATATTTGACATTCATAGGAGATTTGGTAGTAAATAAACGGAGGTTGAGAGCATTTATATAACATGTTTGCTGAACACTAATGTGTACATTTATGGCTGTAGAGGATGGAAGTAGCTGTAAGTGAGTTTATCAAACAGATATTGTTGTTTAAAAGTCTGACTTTTAAACAAATACTTCCCTATATATATCAGAACCACACCCAGATCAAAGACTTTATCGTGTCTTGTTTTTTATCCCTCTCCTCCCTCCTGCTGGAAAATGTTTCAGGTGGGAGGGAGGGAGGTTTCTCCTGCTGGAGCTTTCTGGATGGGAGGTGGGGTGAGCGGTGATGCATTTAGGAGTGAGTTGGAGTTAACAAAGCTAATAATTAGATGTAAATGGATGAAAATTAGATGTTAAAACTCACACTTTTTTGCTGTGTGGAGAATATGTAATTAAAAAGGAGAAGCACTC